CTTTATTTTGATTATAATACATATATATTTAAACGTTGTTGTTGTGCTGATATTTCGCGTTCAAAGTGGCTACTTTTTGTGGTGGTTTGGTGTTGTCCGGCTATTTCAGTTCCGCCAGAGGAAGATTCGGTATGGCGGTTGTTCGGGGGAAAGGAAGAAAAAGAAAGAAAGAAAAAAAAGGAGGGAAGAGGGGGAGACTACTGTATGGTTGTGTCAGGAACTACACTTGTTTCTCAACAGTTGAGGAGAGGCTAGGGGAAGGAGGGTGGGATCAATGGGTGACGATATGTCGAGCACATGACTCTTTTCCTTTCTGTGTCGTCTTTCTCTCTCTCTCTCTCTCTCTCTCTTTACAACATACTTACGGAGATAAGGAAGACGATGGTACTGTAGCATGACGGCAATGCATGCTAAAAGGCGCTATACGCATGTCAACGCAACTCTACCCCACTAGCAGCTAAAAAAAAAGAAAAGAAAATACGTCAAGGAGTGGCGGGCGTTATGTCTTAATGGCGCGTCTGCCGTCTGGACCAAACTCTTGTGCATGGACATGCATGCGTAGTTGGGGTTAGCATGGTAGTTTGGTTGAGATTCGCGTGGATGACTAGTTTAGTTGGTGCCATTAGCTTGGGTTGATGGGCTGATAGGGCTGAGGGTGCGACCAGAAAAAAAGGGGGGTGGTAGTAGTAGTAGTAGTAGTAGTAGTAGTATGCATGTGCATGTATGGGAGATGAAAGATGACGGCCAAGGTGTACTAAGGGCAATGTGTGTGGTAAGTCTGTTGAGGATTTAGAAGGTGGTTGAGAAGATGTGGAGAGAAGGAAATTGCAGGGTTCGACTTTGGTGCCATGGAGGTACGTCGTGTTTAATCATCTTGCTGATTGTGTAACCTAGGATCCAGTCGAGTCAAGTCGAGTCGAATCAAGATAATTCAGAGACAATAGATTGAACAAACGACTGCATTTATATACAGCTGAACTTTTGTATCTCAGCTACAACAAAAAAGAAATCTAAATACAAGATTACGTACTGTTGCAATTTATTTAATTTGTTTATTTTCATGTTGTGATTTCGCTCCTTACTACACGAACCGACATGACCGCCACGTGTTGTTCGCTTCCTCAAGCTATAATCGCCTATACCCCACCATCTAGTTAGGCGATCAAACAAAAAACAAGAAAAAAAGGTTCTGAGCCATGTACAAGGCGTGTACGTATGAACAGATCAAGGTAATAATAGTGAAAGACTCGTGGGTAAGAGTGAGAGAAGCGTGATTATTACAAGAGCCTGTATTGTCCGCATAAAGCCATTGAAAACCCTTCTCTTGAATATTACCAAAAAGAAATAGTAGGGCACCTCTAGAAGGTCCAGGAATCCAAAGGTCCTGGAGATGAAAAGAGAGAAAGAAAAGAAAATGTGCGATTCTCCGCAATGCGATGGCACGCCGCAGTGACAAGTTTGCAAACGCTTCTTGCTTTTGTTTCGGCCGAACATATGAGTAAGCCCATCTCACTCGATACTCTTCCTTGGTTCTACAACCTTATGGTGCAGGTTCAACCGGGTTCATGCCATCTCATCGTGCTAGTTTGATACAAGCCTGCTTCTCCCAGCAGACGACCACGTCGACGCCCAACTCAGTGCCCTGCGCGTGCACACGGCAGCATTGACGGTGGAAAGAAAGACCGAGGTATGATGTGAAAACGAATCGAGCAAAAAAAAAAAAGAGAAATAACCGTGCCTGAAGAACGCCTAGGTGTGGATATATACCGACTGATGTAGACAAGTCGATGAAATGAAAATTGTCGCAATATACAAGGGTAGCAATGAGTGCATCAGGTACAGTCGAATGATTAAAAGTTTTGAGCGATACCGGAGTTGCCTTGATGGGGGAACACACTTGGGTTCTCGATTCTTGTGTTTCGCCGTGCGGATACATCTCTTATGATGGGTTGTTGTTGCTGGCCGCCATAGGGATCGTTGGAACCGTATGGGCCGGGCTGGTAGTAGTCCTGGTTGGCGTAGTAATCATGTTGTTGGCTGCCAGCCATGCCAGGATAATCGCCCGAGTGGTCTGAATGATCAGCAGCTGAGTATGATGAAGAGGCATTAGATGGGCCGCGGTGGACACCACTCTGGTTATTGGCCGAGTTTACGGCTGTAGCGCCGGCGGCACCACCAAGCGCACCAATGCCATCAGAATCCATAGTTTGGCGGCGTCCGTCCATCAGGGGGTCGTTGGATTGGGCGTCAGAGTAGACTCCGGTAGGCGAGTGGGGTGCAGCGTATCCGCCGGGGTTGCTGTTACTATCCGAGTAGGTCATGCCAGAGGTCATAGTGGTGGACATTTTGCGGTTGGAGCTGGTGGTCGTGTTACCCCATCCTCGGTAGCCGCTTTCATCCTCAGCCATGGCGAGACCACCGACAGCAGGCAGGGTGGGGTCGTGGTTAGGGTTGAAGCCATACTCTTCCACCTCTTTCCGGCGCTCGTCCTCTGCGCTCTTGCGCTGCTTGCGCTTCCGCCAGAAGAAGATGCCGCCGAGCACTAGCAAGGCGACAATGACAATGGGAATGACGACAGCAATGGCAGTCTTGCCGCTCGTCGAAAGGCCGCCACTGTCTTCCTTTTGTGCGTCCTGCAGGCCAGTGGTGCCGGTGGTGGTTGGTTTGGCGCTGCTTGCGCTGGTGGATGCTCCGTTGGGGGGTGCAGCGGTGTTGGCTGGCGAGCTGATGGTAGATGTGATGGTGATGACCTGTGGAGGCAGGCCTGGAGCCGTGGCGGACGTGATGACTACGACCGAGGTGAAGACGTTTGTCGAAGTAGGGGCGGGCGAGGCGGTGACGGTGCTGGTCGGGGGCGCATTGTTGTTGGACGATGGCGGTGGTGCGGGTGGTGCAGAAGACTGGGCTGGCGGCGGCGGCGCGCTAGATGGGGCAGGAGAGGGAGCAGGGGCGGAGCTAGGGGGTGGAGATGGAGGAGCAGAGGAGGGTGGGGGAGCAGGAGTCTCTGATGATGGCGTAGGAGCCGGTGGGCTCGAGGGCGCTGGGGCGGGTGTAGATGGGGGAGGGTTTGGTGAAGGTTCCGGGGCTGAAGGTGAGTTAGAAGCCGGTGGAGGACTTGAAGCCGGACTTGAAGCCGCAGCCGGAGGGGCTGATGAAGGCTGCGGTGTTGCTGCGGACGGTGTTACAGACGGCGGACGAGGCTGGGACGAAGGAGCAGAGGGAGAAGAAGGGGCGGGAGGGTCATTGGAGGAAGCAGGAGCAGCAGAGGAAGGAGCGACAGCAGCCGGGCTGGACGCGACAAAAGAGGGAGACAACGTACTGGCAGGCGCACTGCTCGACATGATTGCGGACAAGAGGGTTGCGCAGCCAGAGAGGCAGGGCAGAGGCAACACTTGAACTGGCAAAGGAGCGACTGAGGCACGCAGCGGATGGGGCGAGGTTGGAGGGCGCGCCGAGAAAGGGCTGTCGAGGTTTGGGCTGTCCAAGGCAGGCTTGTGGGTGTCAGAGCCGCGACAGAAACTAGGTTGGCGAGTTGGAGGGCGAGGGAGTTAGTGTGTCGCGCGGTGGCAGCAATGCCGTGGGACGACGGGTGGACAGCGAGCAGCAGCGACGAGACGGCGGCGACGATCTGCTTGGACTCCGCCCGTGGGTCCGGGTGGATGATGTATCAAGCACGCAGCGTGGCCTGGTGGGTGGGCGACGGGCAGCAGTTGTGCAGGAGACGGCGTGGACCCTGCGCGGGAGCAGGATGGGCGATCCCAGCCAGACGGCCGTGTGCGTGGTGCGGTTATTGATTGCACTGCCGAAGCGAACCACGCCAACAACAATGGCCACGGCACGCCCGCTGCGACTGGCCTGGCGCTGGCGCTGACGGCCTGGCCCACAACGGCGTATCGCAGGGGCTGGCAGACACGAAACCTCCACGGGCGCGAGAGCAGGATGCGGATGCAGTGCAGCAGCAGCAGACGACGCCGTGTCTGCAGGCCGTGTGCGGCTGCCAGGCTGCCAGTCTGCCACTCGCCGCCCGTCCACAAGGCGGCACCAACGAGCGCCAAGAGGGGCTGGCTGGTGGTGCGGGAGCTCCAGACGGAAAGACGGAGAGGGCAGGGCGGATGTGCTGACTAGCAGCCAGCAGTCGCCCCGAAGAGGGAAGCTGCTAAACACGGTGGCGCGGGGCTAGTCACCGATACGGCACGTCCGTGGCTGAGTGCGTCCGAGAGAGACAGCAGCAGCACACATCCTGGCCCTCCTTCTGTCCATGTACTGACTGTGTACTTGCCCGTGCTATACTTGCGCTGCTGTCGTGTGTATACTATAGTTACATCGCACACCAAGGACACGCCCACGCCCACACACAACGATGCCACCCATCCCCACCCATGCCATCATCCGGCGTGAACCATCGTCATTGCCCCTCGGCCCCCTTGGCCCTATCCTGGTTCCAATAACATCATCCCCTCGCTTTTTTTCGCCAGCGTTACTTTTCATCTCCGCCCGTGCGCCGCCTCCCATTGGCCGTCTGGCCACTCTATATTAAGCCCGTCTCAGCAGACAGACGACTTGGCTCCCTCGGCGCCTTGCAGCAGCAGCCAGCAGCCTCTATTGCTTGATCTCGTGTCACCGCACCCTGCCTGCCTGCCTCTGTCTGCTTTATCCACGACTCAGGCGCGGCCAACCCCCTACCCATGTCTCGTAGCAGGAAGCCGCAATGCGCCATTCGCCAACAACAACAACACCCACCTACTCGATGCGTCCATGTACTTACTCCATCCATCAAGTAGATTAACCGCCTCGCACCAACACCACTGCAACAACAGCCCTTTACCCGCCATTGCTCACAAAGCATCTATCATCATCATCATCATCATCATCATCATCAACACCACCCCACCCGTCCCATTTGATTTGTGCCATGCCGTGCCTCTCTTTGTTTGCCCCTTTGTTTTCACTACGCTCCAATCCTACGAGCTTACTCACTAGCTAGCCCCTCGCTCCTTCCTTGCTCGTTCCGTGCACAAAACAAACCCCGTGACCCATCACACCAGCCCCGGAATCACCGCCTTGCGACCCTCAAGCTTCTCCTTGCCAAACTTCTTCTCATACCACCGCTTGCCCTGCAACGCCCGTGGCACCATTGTAGAAATCTCGTTGAGCAGGAACGAGCGCGCCGGATGGCACTTCCACCCCCCAATCATCCACCACCCTGCCCACTCAATCCACTCGCACAGGTAGTGTGCATACAACACGTACTTGAACAGACCGTTCTTGGGTATCATGTATACCTTGTCCACGCTCTCCACCGCCTTGCCCTCCTCCTTGGCCAGCTTGCGTTGCCTCCGATCCGCCGCTCTCCTAATTTCCCGCAGGTCGTCATCGTGGAACATATTTCCCATGAGTCCCCAGCACCACACCACAAGCCCAACAAACATCCACTCTGTACGCCCTGCCCACTCGTACTGCGACGTCGGCCCATAGCCTGCAAGGTATCCCCCAATCGAAATGGCGTTGCACAGCTGAAATACAGCCCCCGCCACCCATACCAACAAGTGCATCGGTGACATGCTCGGATTCAAAAATAGAGGCGACAGGATGGCCCGGTAGAGGTAGTGCATCACCTAGTGTTTGCATTTAGCTCTTGCTCTTGCACCCCCCTCTCTTCTCTCCCCTTTGCCAACCACACTTACAAAGCATCCAGCCATGGTCCAATTACCCCATGGCAACTCTTCAATCCCCACCTCCTTTGGCAGCGCTATCATAATGTACAAAAGCACTATGAAGCCCACCGACTCCATCGTCGCCCATCCAATCTTTCCATTGACATTGAACCGTGACTCGACTGAGGTTTTGCCTTGAGGGTACCAATCTAGCACCCATTGTACCAGGGTAAACTATACGTTTTGCACAAACTAGCGTCAGTCCGGTCAAGTTCATTCTTCGTACTCGTAAACCCCACTCAGCCCAAGCCACCGTGTCCTTCTTACCAACGGAAAGAATTGCCAAATCCAGCACAGCAATTCCCAGTTCTCCCGCGACGGCGGCAGCCATCCTTGCACAATCGCCATGTTCTGATGTGGGCCCTAGTATGCCAAACACGTGCTGACAAAGTTATGCAGAATCGAGAACAAGAACGTCGAGAAAAGTGAGAGTGTGAGAGAGACAAAGAACAAACGACGCGTAACGCGTATGTGTAAAAAAAAAAGTAATGACGAGGGGCTGAAATGAAATCAGCAGCTCTTGCTCATCTAATAGTCCCTGCTTTCGGCCCAATTCCATTAACACACAAATGGTAAGCCTCATTGGAGAGGGAAACACACATGATGTCAGGACTTTTACCCAGTAGCTTGTGCCTGCCCTTCCGCGCCAAACCGAAAGCCAGTTTTTTGCGTCACTCACCAAAATCCAGCTCTGTGGCACACACACACACACACACACACACACACACACACACACACACACACTCACACAACAAACTTGCCCTCCCGTTTTGTTTTATTCATTTTACTTCATGTGTGCAACCCCCCCCCCCCCCCCCCTAGTGCAAATCTCCGCGGCGAATTGGAGATTGACGCGTTAGCGCCACACCTTGTTTCCCCGCATTCACGACAGTCGTTTCTCCTTGCATGCATGCATGCAACATGCATTGCTTACCCATGACCGCTCTTTCCGTCTCTTGTACATTTGCATTATGAATGGCAGTAGGGGGCAAACTCTCATCAAAAAGCCGTCTCCTTAGCTCAATTGGGAGAGCGCCAGACTGAAGTCTTCGGTCATTAAATCTGGAGGTATCGTGTTCGATCCACGAAGGGGACAACGTGCCTGAGCTTGCTCGGGATTCTTCGAACCATTCTTTTTGGAAAACTTTTTTTGACATGGAAGATTGATCAATCATCTATCATGTTTGTTTAATGTGCAAACTTTCTGTTGTTGTTGTTGGTTTTTTTTTTGCTGCAAGTGGTAATTATCACAAAGATCCCATGTATGATGATGATCTGCTGCACATCTCGTCATCATAACGAGGGATTTTCGCTTGCTAATTTTATTCAATCCTAATTATATCATAGGGTTTCCATGGACATGGTACACAAATGAGGATTGTCATCTTGTCGTTGAAACCAAGTCATGTCATTATGCAACATGCAATGCTCGTGATAATAATAATAATACAATGCTCGCTGAGCGTAGCCTAAGAACAAAACCCCACATCTACGCAATAATCATACCAAGCCATTTATCATCAGACATCATCTATTCACTCCAAGCACTACTCCCCCCTAGCACCACTAGCCTGTACATCACCAGTCGGTATACTCTCCTTCCTCGACTGCTCCGGTGCCCTGGCCTCATTGCCCTTTTTGATACCCCTCGCTCCAGGCGTCAGGTACGTGTTATCCAGCGCCGGCAGCTCCTCGTTCGCCGGCGGCTCCCAATCCTTGCTCTTCCACGGCGTGACATGCAGAATGTACATTGTATCGATTTCCTCGAGCGTGCGGCCGTGCGACTCGCATACGAAAAGGTAGACTACTACTGCGCCGGTGAAACAGCATGCTGCGAAGACGTAGCCGTAGCGGTAGTCAATGGCAGATGTGATGTACGGTGTGACTAGACAAGAGTTTGTTAGTGAAGCAGTTTCATTGAGGAGGCTGGAAGTTGTGTGTAGCAACTTACAGAACGAGATGAGAAAGTTCCATGTCCAGTTGCTGGCAGTGGCGAGAGCCATGCATTTAGCACGATACCTCGAAGGATAGATTTCGCCAACTACAGCCCAGATGATGGGGCCCCATGTCATTGCGTATCCGGCGATGAAGAGACAGGCGAAGATGATCATGGCGTAGCCGATGCCCTGGTTGGACGTTCCATCCGCGTTTGTGAGAGCAAAGTGGCCGAGCGATGCAAACACCAGGAAACACATGAACATCCATAGGCCCCCGACAATGAGCGATGGCCGGCGGCCGAACCGTTCGACGACGTAGAGGCCAGGGATCGTCATGCCGAAGTTTACGCCGCCGAGAATCATGGATGTCACAAACGAGTTTTGGATGCCGACCGAGTTGAAGATTGTGGTTCCGTAATAGAAGTAGCTGGAGAACAAGTGTCAGCATTTGAAGTGTGCCCCCCCCCCCCCCTCTTTTTTTTGAAGGTTAACTGAAAAAAAGAAGAAGAAGAAGACTTACTAGTTTGCACCCGTCAACTGCTGCAAAGCTTGAAGTGTAACACCGAGCAAAACACGATATGCCATGCGCGGACCGGTAAAAATCTCGTACCAAGGATGTTTTCCTCCGCCCGCCTGTTCCGCCTCAAACTTCCGTTGGATCTCCTGGATCTCACGCTGCACTTCGGGATGGTCTTCCGAGACACCATATGTCAAGGCAACCGTGTGTTTTGCGCTCTCCGTCTTGCCCTTGCGGTACTCCCATCGGGGAGATTCTTGCATGAAGAGAATACCGAAGATCATGATTGCAGACCAGATGAAGCCGATGCCCATGGGGAGCTTCCATGCGTATGAGCTGCGGCGCTTTTCGGTGCCAAAGTTGATACAGTAGGCGGTGAAGATGCCGAGAGTAATGAAGAGTTGGTAGCAGGATACGAGGGCGCCACGGACGTAGCGGGGTGCGGTCTCGGATTGGTACCTGTGATGGTGTATCAGAATATGCTTTTGTGATTGTGAAAAAATGATTCATAGCGACTTACATGGGCGTGAGAACAGATAGTGCTCCAACACCAAGACCGGCAACCCATCGGCCGAGTGAGATTTGGTACCAGACGTTTGTTGTAGTGATTTGTACAATGACCCCCACGCAGAAGATAATATTCCAGAAGACGATCGAGTACTTGCGGCCGAATTTGTCGGCGATTGGAGCTGCGATCAAAGCACCCATCAAAGTACCGATGGACAGCTACACGAGAAGTGTTAGATGACATGTAGAGCGAAGACCACTCAAGGATACCATGAAACTTACCAAAGCAACAATCAACCCAGACTTCCAATTGCTAAACGACCGTTCTCCCGTCTGTGGGTCCCTATTATCCGCAAACCTCTCCAGGAAATCCGGCATCTCAAGGAAACCTGAGATCTGTCCAGTGTCGTATCCGAAAATGAACTACATTGCTACAAGTCAGCTCATTGTTTACACACAACCCATTCTGCTCATCCAATCGCACTCACCCCACCCATGGATACAATAATCGCCATGGCAATAATCCGCATTCGAAATATCTCCTTCATCCCTCCCTTGAGCATCTGCGGCTTCGCCTCCACATCCTTCTCCAGCACCGTCGACTCAGACGTAGAGGTGCTATCGCGCCCTCTAAACCGATCGAGTATCGCCATTGCGTAGTGTGTTTTTGTTTTATCGAGGAAGACTACTGCTCAATCGAACAGCAAAAGTAAATGAACAACAATGTCCAAGATCGTGAGGGGGACGTCATTTACATATAGTACAGTTGGTACTGACGAAACCCCCAGCTTCTTCCTATGCCGTCATACCCTGCAAGGGTCTGGTTCGTAGCCACTGTCATTGCGTTCTCCTCCATGCCCCGCGAACTACTAGTTGTAAAGCGAGCAAAAAAAACCATACGCGTAATGCAAGTTTGGCATCGTCAAAAACACAAGAGATCATCATCCTCCGGTGTGTCGAAACAATCGACGTCATACTTGTTGCTAACTGACCGAGAGAGAGAGAAGAAAAAAACGGGCACTAAGCCGCATTGCGGATGGAAAGATGCTTGACTGGGTCAAGCTAAGTTATGACTGCGTTGTGCTCTTTGGTGTTATTGGCTGCGGTGCATTGTCGGAGGCAAGGGACGATCTTTGAGCCTCTGCCCTCTGACCTTGTGCGGCTTGGCCGTTGAGCCCCCGGTGATACTCTCTCACAAAACCGGTAAAACCGGAAAATGGCGGCCCCATCAACCGCGATGCAACACCACGCCAAAACACCGCCAAAGCACCGCGTTTTCGCATAGCTGATGATGCAAAGTTAATTCAATATTTTGAAGCTCTACCGTGATAGATATCTACAATATTTTGGAGTCGGTGGGGGTACTGATCCACCGTTTTATTGATTTTTTCTTGCTCAACGCTATCCAGCACCTTGTAGAACCGCTGCACTCCCTCACGCTGGGTTGCACACCTTCTCATATAAAATTTGCGGCGGATCGGTGCAACCCAGGTCTCCATTATGCTCATATCTGGAGATTTTGGTGGGCTTAATATATATCCCATACCGTGGTGATCCATATATTCGAGCGTTTTTTTAGATATATGGGCAGAATCCCGATCCTGCCAGAGTATATATTCACCACCGCGTTCTAATAGATGAGCTTGTAGAGCGGGTAAAATGACTGTTGTATATATTTTTGCAGTCATTTTGCCATTACTATTGCCTGCGTTGTACGGGATTGCAAACTTGAAGTTGTATCCCACTACGCACCATATATGAAAATAGATCTGGAGATCTGGATCTACCTTACGCTGCTCCTCGTACTGTATATTTTTTGGGTCCTCGCGGTGCTTAACACCGGGGCGGCGTTTGATATGGTTTAGATATTTTGGCCCAGTCATCCAGTGGATCTCATCACACCAGATCACATCGCGCCATGCAGTACTAGTAGGCCTCTGCTGTAATTGTATAGAACAATACTCTAGCCGGCTGTTAATCTGTGCCTGTTTATGCTTGCCTTTGACAACAGCTTTATGAGACTTGATACCCTCATCATGGGCGACGCGACGCTGGATCGCACCAGTGCTCCACAGAATATTTTCTTAACCTCGCCCATTACGATACTCTTTGACGACACCAGCTTTTTCAGAAATATCCTGCCAAGGGAGGCTTTTATCGTCAAAGGGAGCTTCATCAAGCCAGGTGCCAATCGCGGCGGTGTCGCTCCTCGTGAGCTGGCGTGGTGGTGGGCGGGTATCGACGACGTCATCAGCGTTTTGGAGACGGCGGCATCGTCGGGATGCGAGGATATCAGAAGCTGTAGATTTCGGTATACCAAATAGAGTAGAAATACTAGCTAGATTGCATGGTATTGACTGTTGTTGAGCCCATAGATACACTGCAAATATGGCGGCACGTTTGGGAGTTTGCACCTGCGGGCGCTGCCCATCCGCTTGCTCCTCTAGCGGCTGGAGCTCCGGCGGCGGCGTGTTAATTTTCAAGCGACGAGGCATGTTAAAAATGAAGACTGCGCATTTAATTGCGCATATTTTTGGTGTAAAACAAGCACGTGGTGATGGAGATATTTCGCGTTGCGGATGGTGAGTTTTGGTGGGATAAGCCCGGTTGTTTTGATTTTCCGGTTTTACCGGTTTTGTGAGAGATACTATTGTACCGCCAAAACGTCAAAGGTCGGGGGAAGAACGTCATTTTGCAGATGGGGGTTTTTGCCCGTCATCTGGGGGAGGATGCTCGGAGTTCGTACGTAGCGTGTCGGAAGTGACATCGATCTGATGGGTTCGAGCAATTGAGGATAGTACTAGACGGCGACGCTCGGCATGACTTACCTTGCCATGGGATGATGTGCATACTTGTGTGCTGTTGCTGCAACAGGAATTTTGTACTACATAGTACATGAAGTACTTGCACTTGCATGTAGTAAGAATGAATCTCGCAAGATGCATGGGATAAATGTGTGCGGAGAGAGAGAGAGCGCCCCCACGGAGGAAGTCCCTTTTTTTTGGCCCTTCTACGCGTCTTCGGTGCAGCTTCTTTGCGGGGTTATGCTGTCAGTGCGAAATGTTGCCACTTCGGCACGGCACTCCAACACACCCGTCGAGAGATCTTTGATCTCAAACGTTCAGTAAAAGCCACTGCTCACGTCATATCCCTAGGAGACGCGTGCTTACACTACGCACATGATTTGGACGACGACATGCTTCCGGCTGAGTTGCCCTTTGGCCCTGGTGTAGTTTGTTGCCGTTCCAATTCGAGTAAAGAAGCATTGGTAATAACTCAGCACTTGCTCATGCACTATCTCAGCACGTGTTAAACTTGCCATGTCAATCTCTGACCGCGCGATGTTGGATTGTTTATAGCCAAAGTACGAATATGGAGTAGACTTTGAACGGAGCCTTATCACCACACCATCTCTTAGGCCCACAGCAAACCTTCTGATCTACACCAATGCATGAAACCCCACAAAAAGCAAATCGTTCATAAACTTACAGCGCACACAAGATGATCAGGCCCCAGGGTAGCCTACTCACACATTGCAGAGTTTCTCTTCATGAAAATATAAGCATTGTGCCAACAATGTATACCTTGGGGTTCAACCTGCATGGGGCATTTTTCACAATCATCCAACATATACCTATCTCTCGAAACCGCAGAGTACAATGATTCCACACATGCATAAGCAGAGTGCACTCACAATTCTTCTATTTCCACCCTGCTGCATCTGCATTCTGCAAGCCGGCGCCCACCAAGGTATGGTACGCCTCATCCCTCCCATACCCATGTCTTGCTCTTTCCAACCCCGATAATCACGGAATACCTGGCCGACCCGCTCATCGTCTGACCCGACGTGGCGTTAACCATGCACGCTTCGCATCCATCCATCCATCCATCCATCCATACACATACCTGCCCAACCCCCTGACTCGCATCCTTTCTCTTCTTTTTCTCACAACCAATTCCTAACAGGGCAATTTGCAGTACATAGGTGTAGATTGTAGGTGAAAACTGCGGATACAGTTTCCGACCACTAAATCACTCCTGGCGCCCTCGCACGTACATACTAACACCCATTGCACAAATCCATCTCGGCTACGTTAGCCGTTCCTGCTCGTGCTTTTTACTCTTTTTTACTTTTCCCAATTTTCTTTTCACTGAACTACCCGCAATTCCGCTGCGTGTCATTCGCGCTGCGCAACGCTTTGTTCATCTACCACTACGCAACGTTCACACAGCAAAAAAGTAACAATCACTAGCAACAACAACAATAACAACAACAACACATGGGCTAACATCGCACTCCCTCAACTTGCAAAGCTGACAACTGCGCACGTGAAAAAACACGCATACACCCAAGTAACAAATACCCTGTCTTTCTCTCTCCACATGTACCACCCCGTTCTGGACTTGCTCCCCACCCCTCTCCAAGCACCTAAATATCCCGCGTATCTGCGCCTCAGCAATCTAGACCCTGCATGCCACATCCAATCCCCCTCCCCCTCCATACGTATATGCACATCAGCCCGCCATACCCGGCATATCTGCACGATACACCTGCCCCCTCCCCCAAGAAAGCAAAAAAAAAAAACCCCCCCTTCCCCCTTCCCGTACCTATCTTTCACCGATATCTCTTCATCCCGCCTAGCCGCCAACCACCCCCCCCCCCCCCCCCCCCTCCTCCTCCTCGTCGTGCAATCATGCCACAAACGACAGCCCATCCATGCCTCGATCAAGTAATTTGCGCTGCCGCCCGTAGAAAATAGGCGTATTACACGGCTACGTTTTCCGCTCTCTCTCTGAATCATTACATGTGTTTTTGTCACATGCACGGTCCCATGCCTACTAAGCACCCAACCCCCCCCCCCTTTCCTTCCTCCCCCCTTCCATGTGTTTGGGGTGGGTTCGAAAGAAAGAAAAAAAGTTGGCTCTATGGCATGTAAATACGAAAGAGAGAGGCAGGCTGAAAGTGGGCGTCCGAGTAATGGACCGCAGATTGTCGGCTTATTGTGCCGAGCCGCAAGGCAAGGCGCGGAACAAAGTCCATTGGACTTTTAAAGAGTTTAACACGTTGTTTCGTGGGCTTCAATCCTCACCCTCGAGTGACATTGCGAGGAACTTTGTTTTTCTTCTTGAATTTTGATCTGTGGTTGGTGCATGGTGCCATGTAACCCTATCCACTGTTCTTTGAGAGATAAAAAAAAAGAATTGTATACACGTCACGATAAATACATATACAAACTACATGCCACGCTACCAAGGCCTCCATTATGCTTTGCTTCCGTTGGGGAAGGGCCGGTCCAATCTCTCCCGCTTCATCTTAGGCCTGATACGTCCCTTTGATACGCTACTTTTGCTGGCGACTACGGCCTTGTTCTTGCCAAGCACACTCTTGAAGCCTATACTTGCACCTAATGGTTCTGGACGCTGAGGTTCCGAGTCCTGACCTGTAGCAGAGGGTTGTGAGTGACCAAAGAGGCCCAATTGCTCCTGCAGTTTTCTGTATTGGACTTCTGGGTCTCTGGCATCTGCAGTGGCGGAATTGGGTTGCCCTATGGGCCTTTGCAACTCCTGATATGGCTGCCGAGAGACGGGACGGGCACTCCTCGATGTAGCAGATGCCGGTAGAGCAGCTGCGGGGTCAGCTTGTTCATCTTTCAGGAGGCCGAAAACATCCGCATCTTCGACTTTTTGCTGCTGATGAGGGGTGTCTGGGAGTTCAGAACTGTTGACCACATCCTCAGTGTGCGGTATGGCCATCACATCAGACCCTACCGACTCTTCTTCACTTACTCCCGCTACACCAGCATCCTCCATCTTAAACAAGGGCGGTTGCCACCTAACCCGCCTATCCTCTGCCTCTCGAGCTGCATTCTCGTGTGCCTTCACCTCCTTGTACAGTCGGTCCTTTTCTAGCGTTAGCATGAGCTGTCGTCGGTTGACAACTGCAGCCAAGGCCCGCAGCAAGTCAGGCTTCAGCTCTTGCTCAGTCTCGAGATGCTGCATCGTCTCGCCTATTCGCTCGACTAGTTGTGCCTTGGCGTATCCTCGGATCAAGACGCCGTAAGTGAATTGATCCGGATCAGTGCCCCTGTTGCGCATAATCTCAAATACGCGCTCAGCCGCTTGCACCTGACCCGTTTTGAAGAAGGCCTGCATCAGGATGTTCCAACTATATACATTAGGTTTTGCCGCACTCTCCGTCATGTCCTTGATGACCTGAGATGCGTTCGCAAATTGTTGTTTCTGGCTGAAGGCCAGGAGGAAGGCATTCCAGACAATTGGGTTTTGCACCAAGCCTTTGAAGGCTGGGTCTTTGCTTTGCGTAGCGACCGATGTGAACTTATTGTATAGGTTGAGGACTCGCTGGTTGCTTATAGCCGCCGCCGATTGAACTTCTGCTTGCATCATCACGTATAGAGCCACAGAAGGAGGCGGAAGCCTTACAGAACCCAACGAACCTTCATCTTGCTCCGTCCTGGCAGGCCCCGGGTTCATCATTCCCGAGGTGAGGAAAGGCTCCAGTGGCGCCATTGAGAAAAATCTCAGGTAGGCGTCCCACAGCAATGCAGATCTGTGTCCAGCGTCAACATCGGCCTGGTGGCGTATATACAAATAGTACAGATGATCCGTTGCTAGCCAAGGGTCCTTGGTCTGCTGTGCTATATCCGCGCAGTGTTGGGCAAAGTCCTGGAAGATAGATGGATTGCTTTGTAATGTACACCCATGGAGAAGGATTGAGTGGGTATGCGAGTTGGGTTCGAGCCTGTTGCTCTCTAGCGTGTTGTACACCTTGAAGGCGGTGGTGTAATCGCCAGCTTCCATAGCATTGTGCATGACTATATTGTAAAGCAGAATGTCCATCTTGATCCCCAAGCGTACAAAAGCAGCGACTATAGAGGGAGTTTGGTGGAAATTGTGGCTTGTGCTCATGCTCTTGCGGAGTATCGTAGCACACGTCCAGCGTAATCTTTCCCGTTCGACCACTGATTTCCATGCCACATCGTTAAGCCTCACTCTCAACTCCTCGAGACATTTCAAGGCGTATTCGACCTCACCAGCCTCGCCGAAAGTGCTGGCGTAGTGCAACATGGTGTCGAATCCGATACGCGTTCGGTGCTGAGCCAGGCAATCAAACACCTTCTTGAGATCATCGATTTCGGCTAGCCCGACCAGATTGTATAGCAAGTCTTGTGAACAGACATCTGGTTGGCTGGCCAAGGATTTAGAAAATATGTTCACAAATGCAGGAACAAACACCCGTTTATGCGCCATTGGATCCGTACCCCACTTTTGACGAGTACCATACTGCTTTCTGGTATGAATCTTGGAGAGATGGCCAAGACCATCCGCAATAGCTTGTGTCTTTCGACCTCGCAAAAGCGGGTCATTGGCTATGACTTGTATAAATCGCAGCGCAAGACCGGGCACGCGATCCAACAGGTAGATAAGCAGCCGATGGGCGTAGGCTTTTCTTGTGCTGACATCAAACTCGACCCAGTTTTTCCATACCATATGCGAACTAATTGGGGTATCGGGTGGGAAAATCTTGCGACTCAATTGCACGCATCGCGGATCGTGTTTTATAACAATGCTTCGCGTGTGTTGCCGCAGAGAGGTGTAGAGGGCACGGTCGAGTGCTGCGAAAGCTAGGTTGAGAGAGAATATTTTCTTGTAGCGGTGGGCTTCCATCCTAAGATCTAGGTATCTCGATTTCCAATGGACCAGGTTGGACACACGACGAGAAAGAGACCTATAGGATCCATGGTTCATTCGCTGGAGCTGTGAAAGATTGGACGGCAGTCTAGAGACATAATTGAGGAGTCGGGCCCTTTCCAAAGCCAGTGCCTTGGCCCGTTTGGCAGCTCGCAAAGGTGCGTGTGTAGCCAGAACTGAAGAGGTGTGGCCTGACCGAGCTCGACGGTGGTAGCTTTTGGGTGGACCAGTTGGGGCCGGCGGACTTGGATGAGACGCAGTGGTCGCATATGCCCTTGCATGCTGTCGGGCAAAAGTGGATATTTCGGCATAGAGAAAATTAATTGGACTCTGATGGTGTGATTCTCTCCGCCAAAGAGTAGGCATCTGAAGGAGCCCCGCGTCAAGTTTCCTTTGCCTAAGATGCTGGCAACATGTCGAATCAGACTTCAATTGGGGCTTTCCAGCCTCGCCAACACCATCTATCCGTCGCAAACATTTTGGCAGCGCAAAGAGGGCCTGTTTCTCTTTCTGTGCAGCATTGCCCCTTTGGTTGTGCGTTCTGGTACTTCCTGGAATTGGTGACTCGGCGAAGGCTCTCGGCGCAAGGAACAGAAGAACGGGGAGGTCCGCGCTGGCGATGAAGCTAGCATTGGGGACGCGGACTCGGGGCATGGGAGAATGGAGATGTCGCCGTCTTTATCGAGCCATGACGCGTGGTGGAGTCGACAATATAGTGTCATGCTGGGCAGTCACAGGAAAAGTTGACAAAGTGCGCATGTGGTTGAAAGCGCTAGCCGGGAAATAGGGCCAACCTCCGAGCTCTTCTCCGCAAAAGTCGCGACCACAGCAACCTCAACTATGACCATAATCATATCTGCGCCAAACAACCACACTTTCTGATTCCCGCCAAGATTTCGGTGGTATTTTGAGGCAAAACATAAGCCTCTGTCATAATTCTCACAGTCTGCTCTCGCTTGACAGGTCCTGTAGCCTCCCCAGCGCAAACCCAGAGCTCTCTCACCATGTCTTCGCACGAGACACTATCCGCAGCAGCCAATGACCGCAAATCACGCCTTGCACAGCTCAAGTCGCTCAAGAGAAAGCAAGAACAGATATCAGACGCGCCCGAGGCTGCCGAATCGTCTGCTACCAAAGACCAAGCCGAGCCTTCGCAAGCTCTTACGCGTACCGAAGATGACGCAGAATCCTCTGTAGTGAAGACATACCTCTCTGGCCGAAACTACGACCCCGAAACACGAAATGTCAAGCTGGGCTTCGACAACCTGCCGATTTCCGACCCCACCAACACACTAGAGTACAAGGCAGAACAGTTGGCGCTCGAGACAAAGGCCCAGCAAGAAGCAGAAAAGGCAGAAGACAAGGGGCTGGATCTATTCAAGTTACAACCCAAGAAGCCAAACTGGGACTTGAAGCGAGATCTGGATCAGAAGATGAAGCCGTTGCATGTGCAGACAGATAATGCCATTGCCAAGCTGGTTAGGGAAAGAGTCGAGGCGCAAAAGGCGATACGGGAGAAACAACCAAGAGACAAAAACACTGGTGACGAAGTGGGCATGGAGGGCGCAGAGTTGGTCGAGGCTATGCACTTGAAGGAGCAGGAAGAGGAACGGGAAAGGAGACGGGAGGCAGAAGAGGAGGATATAAGCTGAGGGAGTGCAGTGAGCCCAAGAGAGATGCTCAACCACACGGCATAACAGGCCCCAGCTCCGTGCATATTTGCGAGAGCCAGATAGATACCCCCATATCAGGTCTACCAGCCATAATCTGCTAAATGCCCATGCAAGGCAAGAAAGCAGCAGTGTAGCACGCGCCTGCAATGAAAAGAAGCGAAGAGTCATTGTCATTTTTGACGACGCTTTCGATCAAATAGACAATGTCTTAGTATAATTGAGGCAAACAATACAATCAAGTTGTCACATTGCACATTCTACTCCTATGTCACCTAAACACTCCATTTACATATGCATTCTCTGAAAAAAAAACTAAACCAACTGCTAGAATTGATACTGGAAAACATGATTTGTTAAGCCATGACAATAGTTGGAAGGCCCAAAATTTGGCTGAGTTCAGCTCCGGTCCAACTACTTGGTGACCTCGCAGCTAGTCTGTCTATACCGTAAGTATTTCAAAATAAGACCCGAGCGAAAATTCAATCTGTTGACATATTCGTGCCTTGTTTGGCAGTTTCGTTTCGTTTGTCTTATAGGAAAGCGGCTCCGTAGGTGAATTGACTAGAAAGGAGACTTACGACGAATTTTCGCTTGCACTGGATTACATTTAGCATCTTTTACATAGATGATAATTGAATTCCTGCTCCGCTCACCTGTATAGGTACGGCTAAGTAGAGAGAAACCCAGAAGCAAAAAAGAGCGATGGTCATGGATACTAGAGGCTGTTCGGTTGACAAGAAAGGAACCGGACACAAGAAACTCAAATCAGCCTTGAGATACAACCTGTGGAGGCAAAGTTTCAAACGTTGTATGGGTAAGTGATATAGAGTATTATCTTGGGTGATCGCTGTGCATGAGATGAGGTCTCTTGTGTTGGTCAGACTTTGACAACCATCAGCTCACCCGACTGCGGATTTGAGTACATCCACTATTTAAGAGTATCGTAGAATTAAATTTCTCAGTAATTTTTGCCGATGATCCAAGTTCGTGTGTGAATCATAAATCCTTCTATAGGTCTGTGTGTTCCAACTCTATCCATTGAAGGCCTCACAAAACCCGATGTATTCAACAATACTAGAGACGCTCATGCTCTACATCGTGTTGTCTCCATGACTAAATAATCAGATGTCAGTCGCAAGTTTCCCCCGCATACCTGCGTCGGCTGTTCTCCGCTGCCGCCTTCCCGAAAGAGTATTAACCTCGGTACGCGAAACGTGTTGCGGAGGCGGGGACGACCTTCCACGCGCCGCAAGGATACAGGATTGTAGCGGCGTATTTTATCTCGATCAAGGGCTATTAGGCCACATAGAGCAACTCCGCTAAGCTTTTTTCACATAACGGCCGTATCAAATAGCCCGGTTGACACTTAAAATACCTACTGTCTGTACGTTATCACGGCGCATGCGGACGTGCTGATGCAGAGCATAAATATAGTACTTATATCCGAACACCGCCTCCACTCTCTAGCTCTTCAACCATCATTCTACCCGTCTGTAACGACTACTCGTCCAGTGGACCTTGTGTTCTAGCTTTTTTTGTTCCCAAACTTTTGACGTATCACCGCCGCCATGGTTCGCGAAAAGCAGCCCGTCTACGTCCTCGGCGTGGGCATGACCAAGTTCATCAAGCCTCGTGGCAAGGTGGATTACCCTGAACTTGGCTTCGAAGCCGGCGTAAAAGCTATGCTCGATGCACACATCAACTATGACGATGTTGATCAAGGTGTTGCATGCTACTGCTACGGCGATTCGACATGTGGCCAACGCGTCTTTTACCAGTTCGGCATGACTGGTATTCCCGTATACAATGTCAACAACAACTGCTCCACAGGCTCTACCGGCCTATACATGGGAAGAAATTTGATTGCGCATGGAGCTGCGGACTGCGTGCTCGTCGTCGGCTTCGAGAAGATGTTTCCAGGAAGTCTGCAGACTTTCTTCCAGGACCGAGCAAACCCGACAGGCACGTCGAGTCAACTGATGAAGGAGACGAGGGGTATCACGAATGCTCCCGGCGCGGCGCAGATGTTCGGCAATGCCGGTCGGGAACACATGGAGAAGTAAGTTTTCTGGTTTCAATGAATGATCATTACCGTGTTCTAATGGCATCAATAGATACGGTTCCGAGCTCAGGGACTTTGCGGAGATCGGTCGCATCAACCATGCTCATTCGAAGAACAATCCTTACTCGCAGTTCCAGGATGAATACACGCTCGAACAGGTCATGAAGTCCCCCATGATCCACGAACCTCTTACGAAGCTCCAATGCTGCCCGACTTCGGACGGTTCCGCAGCTGCAGTCCTTGTTTCGCAGGAGTTCCTCGACAAGCGACCTGAACTCAAGGATCAAGCCATCTTGATTGCCGGACAGCGACTAGCCACTGATACGCCATCTTTGTTCAACCGCAGTGCTATTGAGCTCGTAGGGTTCAGCATGAGCGAGCTGGCTGCCAAAGAAGCACTAGCAGAGGCTAAGGTCACTCCAGATGACGTCCAAGTATGCGAACTCCACGACTGCTTCTCTGCCAACGAAATGGTCACTATTGAGGCGCTCGGCCTCGCACCAAAGGGCAAAGCCCACGAGCTTATCCGCCAGGGTGGCATAACCTACGGAGGCAAAGTCGTCATTAATCCCTCTGGCGGTCTCATCTCCAAGGGCCACCCACTTGGCGCCACAGGCATCGCTCAGTGTGCTGAGCTCGTCTGGCACCTGCGTGGGTGGGCCAACAACCGCTCCGTCAAGGACACCAAGGTAGCGCTCCAGCACAACCTGGGTCTCGGTGGCGCAGTCGTATGCACTGTGTACAAGAGGCACGATGGAAGCGCTGCGAAGGACAAGTCCGATGAGGAGATTTCCAAGATTACTGGCTTAGGATACAACCCTGCGACGGTGGCAAAGGGCTTCACCAAGGAGCAGGTTGACTCGGTGAGGAGTAAGAAGGCGAGGAGTGAGTGGGCGCTACAGGATTCTCAGCAGAAGGTTGAATCTAGGTTCTGAGGGGTTTCTTTCGGATTCTATGTTAAATTGATTGTTCTGATTGATATTTTTATCTAATTACTAGCCTTGTTTAACAGTTTACGGATCACGTGCAAACCAATCTTGCAGTGATGCTGGGGAAATAAATTTGATAAGTGGAGATTGTATAGCAGAGCGGATAGCTACGAGAAAGCCAAAAGGGCATATTCACGTATCACCATTTTTGTTTTCTATGGAATATACAAAGCCTGTTTTGAGGTATGATTTGACCAAAATCTGGTCAACTTTTATTTTGGTGAATGATGGCGAAGGACGACACTATCGCTGTTGCGTGGCTGTAGACTTTTGGAAAAACCGAACCCCCTACCCATAAACTCCCAAGCTATTTGTGAGGTACAAGAGTTTCCGAAAGAATTAGTTATACTCAAAAACCCATTGCCATATGTTTATCGGACTGCGCGAAGGAGGCTCGGCGTCGTTCATACCATTGAAGTAGATTAACTCGGGCGACTCTCCATAGACCCAGCGGTAGACTTTGGCGATTTTCCTGGTATTGGGCGCAAAAATGTTATTGAGAAGGAGTTTTCTTGCAAACAACGATTTGGTTTTTGGATCCTGGATCCTTTGCAGAAAAGCAATGTCAAAGCGCTCGCGAATTCGGTAAAGGCCAACGGCTGCGGCGAGGTAAAAGCTTTCTACGGTTTGTATAACGTCGCCTTTGCTCCATCCGTAACGGCTTACTCGTTGGTATATTGATCTATGGATTATGCTGAGGACCGTCCAGACAAGGTGAGAGGTGTCGAGGATGTTGAGGACGGAGTAGTTGATGCCATCGACAATGTACAGCTTCATTGCTACGTCTACCAGGAAAGCTAACAGAATGGCGTCGGCGGCTGTGAACTCCCCATGCTGGACGAGAGACTTCGACCAAAGAAGCGATGTAGAAAAGTGCCATGACAATGTGTAGGGGCCTGGCACAGAGATGATTGCGTTGATCAAGAAGCAGTCTTCATCAACATCGTCGTTGTCATCATCCTCGGAGCTCGTCTCCCTGTTTGTTACGGTAAGCGGGCAAGGTCTAAGAAAGACCACAAGAGGGTTGCTAGATTGCGCCATTGTTGGGCGATAGAAGAGGTCACTTTGGTCTGTATGGCTTCGTGTGGGTTCCTTTCTTCGATACTGAAGGAGTCATGGAGGGCAACCTCGTATAAATGTGAAAGGGGGTGTGGATTCAGAAGCATGGTATAAGATCACCTGTATATATGGATATACTGCGAACTATGGTTGGTATTTGAGGATTGGTTGCGCATTGGATGGAGAACCATGGTTGAGGAAATGGGTGTTGGAGAAGCTGGACCTGCAGCAGGGAGGGTCAGCTATGCAGTTTACTCTATGGAGTGCGGTGACTATGCGGTGAGGGTCTGAGAGGGCGATGGTATGCTGTACCGATGTTGCACCAGTCGCTTGATGCTGGTGTGGGGGAGGGAGGGCTGAAGGGAAGGGAGCCAATGAGCTAACCGTTTACGTCCAGCAGCAACCTAGCGTGCCAAGACGCTCAACCAAGTGGATGAAATTTGTTAGCGACGCCCTCTTCTCTTCTTCTTCTTCTTTACATATTGTCAACGGTCTCCAATAACCCTAAGGTCCTTCCTCGCAAGAGTGGATTTGCCTTTTCCAGAGCAGACCCAGAAGAAAGCACAGCCGTTCTAATCCTGCAGCTCGTCGTCGTCGACCTCGGTCGGTTTTGGAGCTGCGGGTTCGCTTTAGGCCTACATACATACATACATACATACTCTCTCTCTCTTCAGAAGTGGCTGCGCTGGTCCGACGGCTCTTCCGGGAGCTCATGGCTCCATGACACCGCCCCTCGCAGCGGCCAAGGTACCTGGCATAGTTACTGCCAGTGGTGCTGTCACAATATGCGGCCTCCCGTCACCGACACCCAGGTTGCGTCCCAATAACTAGGCGTGCCATATGCCCTATGCTGCAGGGAGCCAGCCAAACACTGACCAACCACTCATGGGCATTGGGGAGCCTGCGCAGCCACCTGTCGTACGGCTCCAAGTAGATGATTGGAGTCAATGGCCACAAATAAAGTTGGTCGACCAGCTGAACGGCCCCCGCATGTCTAGACCGGTGTCACTACACAACACCATTGGCCATTCCGGGGGCGACAACAATAGAGCAGCTGAACAGCAGCCCAACAGCCACCAATTCAACCTGCTTCTCGTGCTTCTCCGCCCCTTTGCAACGACTGTGTTTTCGTTGCTTTGGCCATGACATTCATTCAGACTCATGGCACAAACGATCAGCAATTGAGCGGGCCACTGTTGGCTAGCCCGCTGCGTGTTGTCGTATTGTCCCAGCTAGTTCTGTATCTTACTTGGTCCGTCGCGTCTCTCGGGTCTAGAGACTGGCCGTATTTTCCGGTGACGCTCTATTGGTGAACGTGTCTCACAGCCCACTTTGTGGCTGGGAACTCGGTCGTTCAGCATAAGTAACTACTGCATAGTCGCATCGGTGATTCGAGGCCCATCACCTCGACAAAATGCGCCTCGGACAAAGACCTGGTTTCCGTCACCTCAGCATTTGTTGCCTGCTCGGAGATTTCTTCTCAGCCCTGTAGACCACTCCCATTTCCAGTCGTTGTCCTTCGCTTCTTGATACTCCCCACTATACTACTTTCATTGTGCCTGAAGTCTCCTGTACCTGGGGAGCCCTTACTTGCCCATCGGGAAACGTCATGAATGCACATCATGGCCTACGTACGACTGTGCTCGTTCGTTGTGTCTAGTCTTCTCACCTTGGCCCTATCTCAACAAAGTGATCCGATCAAAGACTTCTGCCGCCGATGGGGTCATGCGACGGCGCAGATCGATTCGAAACTCTACATCGATGGCGGCATGATAGCGTCGACGCCATTTCAATCAAACCATACGAGTATGTAAAATACCTGATAGCAGATGCTACAATCGTATCTGGAAAGCCTAACAATCATCCTCCAGACCCATGGCTTTTATTCAGCGACTTGAACCCATCGACCGTCGGTGCCGAGATGCCGGCGCAATACGCAAATCTGTCCAAGCCTGGCAACATACCGAGTGTATCTGGCGGCTATACCTGGGCAGACAACACCAACAAATGTTTCTATCAATTTGGGGGAGAATATCCTGAAGGTGTCAGTCCTACAGATTTCAGTATGTGGACCTATGACGTGCCACTCAATCAATGGAACAGCACCGACACAGTTGGCGACAAAACTATACAACGAGTATCGTTCGGTGCTGGGACACAGGTAGAAGAGCGTGGACTCGGCTTCTACTTTGGCGGCTGGCTGAGCAATCGAACTACGGTAGGCTGGAAAGGACCCCCTATGGCTACAAATGGTCTTATTCAGTTTGACATGTCTACTGGCGACTTGAAGAACATATCAGGACCGGATGGAATTGGAAGAGCCGAGGGACAACTAGTCTATCTTCCCGTGTCTGACAGCGGCGTGCTGGTCTATTTTGGCGGCATCGAGGATACTTATCGTAACGGGAGCTTTGATGCAGTAAGTCTAAATACTATATGCACGTAGTCAGCATACTAATCTCGTTTCTAGGCGAACATGAGTGTAAATTTTATGCGAAACCTGCCCAGTATGTAACTGACGCTATACAGACCATTCACATCTACGACATGGCTTCGTCTAAATGGTATACACAGACAGCCTCAGGCACCGCACCCCCTACGCGCAGACAATTCTGCGCAGATGTTACCTGGCCAGATGATAAGTCATCTTATAATATGTAAGAAACCTTTTCTCCCTATTGTGTCCATCGGCACTTGGTCATGCGGTTGTGGTATTCACTTCTGGTGTGGAATCGTTGGCTGTCCGAGACCCGTGGCGTCTACGTCATGTGTGTGTGTGTGTGTGTGTGTGTGTGTGTGTGTGTGTGTGTGTGTGTGTGTGTGTGTGTGTGTTTCCCTTGGATATCGCTTGATTTTCTCCGGGGGCGCAGGGTCTTGACTGAGGGTCTGTTAGAGAAACATTGGGGTATTCAGGCCGCGCGTACTTTGAGCTGGCAGACGAATCGCATAAGCACATGATGCGAGCAGAGTTGGCTTACTGTGATCAGTTATCTCTACGGCGGTTATGGGTTTGGGGGAACTCCCGCATTTGATGATGTCTACATCCTCTCCCTTCCGTCTTTTACGTGGATAAAGGCATTTCCCGATGGTGATGGTGGGCCAAACCCTGCCATAGTTGGCCATGGAGGCTGTAGTGCCAACGTCATCAACCGCACACAGATGTTGGTCATAGGTGGTTGGTTTCCCATATACGACAAATGCGATTCGCCAGAAAGCCAAGGACAGCATAACATGGTGCTTGGGTTTAATGGCGAGGATGCTAAGCTTTGGGATAAGTATCAACCAAATGTCGACTACGTGGTAGCTTCATCTATTGTGGCAGCCATTGGTGGGGGGTATGTTTTACTCGGCAACTTGTGAGAGAGGCCATGTCTAACGATGGTAACAGACCAACGGGAGGAGCCACTAAAACTGCGCCCGCGACGTGGGGGCATCCTGACTTGGCGACATACTACACTTTAAAACCTTCATTCGCAGCCAGATCAGCTACGCGTCCACTTCCATCAGCAACCGGATCGCTGTCACCCAACCAGTCTAAGAAGACAAGTGTTGGTGCTATTGCTGGAGCCGCTCTTGGAGGTGCTGTGGGATTGATCCTCTTATTATGTCTCATCTTGTTTTGCCTACGCAGACGCAAGAATGCTATGAAGGAAAAGAGAAAGAAAGAAGGCGATATAAACAACGCGAATCCGCCAGTTCCGCCTGCTGAGTTGGAAACCACGGTTCCACAGGAAATGGCCGCCTCGGAGGCTAGCAAGTACGTATCCATTCACAATCGAGCCGACGCTGCCGCCCTTATCCAACATCAGGAACATGCCCAACAGTACTCACATCACGCCAGCCACAACTACGGCTTGCCGCAGCCCGCCCAAGGCCCTCCGTCGTACGGATTTGTGCCGCCGTACACATCACCCACAGAAGCCACTTTCAACCACGTCTCCCCGAGTGTAGGGCGGCCCTTTTCGGACGATGGAATTACACAAAACTCTCCAACTACGGTGTGGGGTACGCCGGCAGACTATCACTCACATGGATCAAATCACGAAGGGCATTATTCGTATCCTACTCCGACCACACCACGGCAGCCTGCAGGGGATCTCTTTCACCAACAAGGTTCAATATACTACCCGCAAGTCAACGCCATGACAACGCGCTCACGGCATTCCCGCAGCAATCTCACCGAAGATGGGGAGGCCTCTGACAGTTCGCTAGCAGGTAGTCCGGAGCAGCTCCCCGTCAGCATTGCGAACACGCCTGCTCACTTTTATACACATGCAGGATCGTATATTTCGGCAGGTAGGAGCAGCGGTGGACGGAGTCCGGATGGAAGGAGACCTATTCAAGGGAGATTTATGGAAGAAGATCATGTATGAGTAATGCAACTTGATGGAGGGCCCAGAAACTTGGCCTGTTGTGATCCCGAGCTTGCAGACCTCAAGGTTGTAGTTTTCGAGGTCATTTCCTATGATGAACTGGCGTTATTTGAGATTGGCGTGCTTTAGTCAAGCACAAGATTTACAGTTTTTCAGAATCTACACGACATAATTATTAGCGGGTATATGCGATTAGATTCCAATGAAATGAGATTCGGGCCGACTATAACATTTTGAGAGCTATCTTAGGCTAGCCAAAATTACACACATACTAGGATATTGCAATGAGCAAATGTTGAACGGAATTGACAATGCCAGGCGTGTGTTTTTTAGTGCAATGATTGTCACGTGCTATCGCGCTTACTTCGGTCCCGCTGTCGTACACACGTTGCCCACTACTTTTGCCAAGCGCAAGGACACATGTCTTTAGCAAACGCAACGCTCTCGACGCCTGACCTTCCCATGATCGCAGTGCGCGCACGATGATCAACCTGCGCTCCATCATCCTCTTGGTGATATCCTACGTTATCATTCCGCGCCTCACATTTCTTCCGCCTAATGTCCACTCGCTGCTAAGCATCTTCGGGCCCTTCCTCATACCTCTCGTCTTCGACTCGATCAAAGCCGCGCGCACAGCTTCTCCAAGCGTCCCCATACGTCCGACACCACCAAGAGTTCAGTATGCACTCAACTTGCTCTTCTTGAGCGCGGTCGTGTGCCTTGGTCTTTCGCTTTCGCGATATGCACCCGAGAATGTCTTCCTCAAGACACAGAGCCACATACGGACGGAGCCAAGCGTGTTGTTTGTGCGACTGAGGCATCTACGCCCACTCACTGACGAAGATGAAGCTCTTCTGACAAAGTTCAAGTGGGGTATGCGCAACAAGTTGCTCTACCTCGCGTATGGTCCAGACACACTCTTGAACTGCGTGTGGTGCACCGTGGCCGACGGGAATGATCAATTCAACTACTTTCTATACTCTCTACCGAAGATTGTTACGCCGCACATATTTCAGCTAGCCGTGCTCGGTCTCGCTACCTCGTCACTGGTTGGAGCTGAAGGCTCACGCTTCCGCATCCACGCTACAATTGCAGGAATATTCGTGACGGTGGTAGAAGTTTGGTACATGGGTACTTATGATATCCTGGTCAACAAGAGGGCAAAGTACGTCCAGGACCTCGATTCGGCATACTGGCGCGTCCGCTTCCTACGATACATGACATTCGCCCTGGTAGACATGGGCCTAGCGTATGTGCTGTGGGCTACGAGTACCAACCGCCTGTTTGCAAAACCCATTTCCATTGCCGAGCGCATCGAGGTTACTACCCGGACGGCGGAGGATACTTTTAACAAGATGCGGGCATTGGGGCTGCTCACAAACTCTGTAAACCGCGATCCGGCGCTGAGGGGCGTAAGGGAGGAATATTGGAGGACAGAGGGACAGGTCACGGCAGAAGTGGTGCAGGATGAAGTGGTCACGGAGCAGATCAATGCTGTGATTAGCAGGTTGGATATGGGCTCGCTGGAAGGTCGTGTTGGAGAGGTTGCCGACGGAATACTTGCAGGCATTGACAGTTTGAGGGCAGGATAGATGTTTTCAGCGAGCTACATGAACCAAGCAACATCATTTCTTGGGTGCTGACATCCACTCGTCATCTTATCTCGGCCATTGCATTGTCGGATAGAGATGGATGAAGGAGCTGGCTATATGCGGAATGGTGCTGGCCAGGCATGATGTAGGTGGCACTACTGCATCAAACTGCATAGTGGATCTCGGAAATATCAAACGATCCTGATTATGTACCCTGTTGCTTCGCGAAGGTCACTTGAACGATTTTTGATCCCTGCAACAAAGTCCTCTTATCGCTTGAACCGCTGCTTGCCGACGGAGCATCTTCCGCTACGGCGACAGCAATTTTGTCGCGCCCAGTTGCAAGTACTCTCGGATACGGAACTGTAGACACGTGTATACAACACATGCATATGTATGTACGATATTGCCCTTCCTCCGAACATGGAGCCGAGTCCGATGTCGCATTGCTGAGGCTTGGGATGAGTCCTCGTCAATAGGAAGCCTGGCCGGATACTAGCGGCAGGTACGGGAGCGGTGGGCCTGGATACCACAGGCTCGGCACACGCCCTACCAACAACACCGCATCTAACGTAGTCAGGTACGCTAGCAGACACCACACCGGCTTCTGAAAGACGCGTATGCCGGCACCGTGCGGAGAACAATGACACGGCTATGTTGCAGCAATGGCAAATTCAAGACGAGACCATGTTTAATGGCAGCGGCAAAGAGGCGGCGACTAGAAAAAAAAGTTTGTTATCGACTTGGGGCTCCGCCGGAAGTGGAACCTTATATCATGGCCATGGCATCCGTATGTAAGAAAAAGGACACTAGACCGCCGCGGTAGTGGGTGCACGGCTGGGCGGACATCACGTCGATGGATCCAACAGGTAGGTGGGCTCGGTCCCGTCCGTGTGATGGGGAAGTGTGACTCTTGGTCGAAATTTTTCATTCCTCTTGTATAAGAGGCTGGCTTGGGTACCTTGTTTTCCGTTCTTTGTACTTGACTAACCTTTCCCCTCCCCCCCTCCCTCAATCTCCCAATCACCGATTGTGGTACTGCTGCTTCGCCAGCCATTGACACTCGAACTCTTGTTGAGCCACAACCTGACTGGGATAAAAAAGAAAACAAAGCAAAACAGCAACCATGGCACCCATCGCCGTAACGCCCCCGAACCAGAACGAGAACGTCACCGACCTCACACAAGAGGGAATCAAGTCGGCGCTTCTCAAGAACGCCCCGGGACAAATCAACTCCTCATCTCTCACAAACTCCATCACTGCCACACCACCAAATGAGCTGGTATCCAAGACTCAGGATGTCGTAGAAGCACCTCTCGCGGAGCTCGACGCTTCCAAGATCACCTGCACATACACCAACACACCCCGCTCAGTCCCCGCTGTAGGATCGGCAGAGATGGCCAGCCAAAAGGTGTGCACCGACCACATGGTACAAGCCAAATGGACCGTCGAGTCCGGCTGGGAAGCACCCACCCTCCAACCCTACGGCCCACTATCCCTCGCACCCACCGCCTCATGCCTGCACTACGCAACCGAATGCTTCGAAGGCATGAAGCTCTACCGCGGCCACGACGGCAAGCTCCGTCTCTTCCGCCCAGACCTAAACTGCCGCCGCATGCTCATGTCCACAAACCGCATTGCGCTGCCTGCCTTTGACCCGCAGGAGCTTCTCAAGCTCATCGTCAAGCTCTGCGCTACAGACGGCAAGCGCTGGCTCCCCAAGGACCGCCCGGGTCAATTCTTATATATCCGCCCCACGATGATTGCTTCGGACCCCGCGCTCGGCGTTGAACGCCCCAAGGAAGCCTTACTCTTCATCATCCTGTGCTGCTTTGCCCCCATGGGCGACATGAGCGGCGGCATCAAGCTCCTCGCCTCCCAAGACGACATGTGCCGTGCGTGGCCCGGCGGTTTTGGATACGCCAAAGTAGGAGCCAACTACGGTCCTTCGCTCGTAGCACAGGGCGAAGCCCGGAAGCGCGGTTACCACCAGATTCTGTGGCTGTTTGGTCAAGACTGTACTATTACCGAGGCTGGGGCTAGCAACTTTTTTGTCGTGTGGAGGACGAAGGAAGGCAAGCTCCAGCTTGTTACTGCGGACTTGAACGAGAGGATTGTGCTGGATGGTGTGACGAGGAGGTCGATTTTGGAGCTTGCTCGTGCAAAGCTTACGGCTGATGCACCACAGGACCTTGAGGCGCTTGAGGTTGTCGAGCGCAAGTTTAACATCTTTGAGATTGAAGAGGCGGCCAAGGAGGGTCGTCTCGTCGAGGCGTTCGCTGCAGGTACGGCCTGGTTTGTTGCGCCCATCAGCCAGATTCACTTCCGTGGAAAGGACATGGATGTGCCCATGGCCAAGGGCAACTCTGGGGCATATGCCGAGTTTTTCAAGAGCTCGCTCAAGGGTATCATGTGGGGATGTGATGGCATGGAGAGCCATGAGTGGGGCCGTATCATTGATGAAGAGTAGGATGTTCCTCTTTTTCTTTTCTTTTCTTTTCTGCAAGAGATGGCGATGGTGATGAAAAGACGTTTGGCATCATGATGTGCATACAAGCGAGGCGTTCATGTTAAGTCTGGGGCGGAGGTTCAATTTGTGCAAAGCATTTTCCTTTTCTTTTTTTTCATATTTCAAATTTACAGTTCAAAAAGCGACGGAGCGACTCGCGTACATATATTATACGTTACAAATACGTTTTCCGTAGAAGCGTCTGTAGAAGAAGAATTTACATATGCAAAGATATCATAGAATTCAGTCATCATCCTCAAAACTTGGCATTGCTGGCACTTGCCGCGTACTTCTTTCCACCATGTTGTTTGTATCATTGATCCCCCGTCTCAGCAAGACGTGCTCCCCCATGGGCCCTTCGCAAAGTTCGACTAGCTCAACTTCTTCTGCTCGATGGTATCCTGACATAACCGCTTCGTCCATACCAGGGCTTGTGTCCTTGGATCGTCTTAGACTCTGCTCGCTGGGCGCCGTTGTGCGTTCCCATGGGTATTCAATACCATCGCCGTTCTCGGGGGTTGTATTGCGTGGATGATTGGTGTTGAACAAGGGCAGTCGGTGAGCGATTAGGTGACGCAGTGTAGGCTATGGTTGCAAAACTTTAGCACGGCAAATTTTAGAACATGAGATGATCTCTTTCTACTAACCATGCAAACACAGAATACACTGGTGTTGGCTTCCAAGACACTCCAGTAGTTGGCTGGCGTATTATCCCAGGTGGGATTCAGCGACTCAGCGTAGTTAATGATAGATCTTATTCGTAGACATGAAACAACAAGGATGCTATAGTACGAAATGTATTGTTAGCGTTCATAGTTTAAGAAAAGCCATCTAGACAAGCCTACTTACAATATGCCAACAGTGAACATGGTAAGCACCTCCAGTTTCCTTCTTAGAGTCATCGATTGTTGATTCAGGGCAGGGACTGGTATAAGTGCAATAAGAAGATCCAAGAAAACTGCGGCACCGGCAGCGGACAGTACGAGATGATTGATATCCCAGCATGAGCCTTTGTGCTCACCATCCCAGCCCGTCCATGCCAGAGAAATGGGTTTGCAAAAGAAGGCCATGCTGAATTGGAAGATGATCCAATATATAACTGTGAGGGCCATGCCGGTACAAGCGTAGGTCCTTGTGTTTCTTTGGGGAAGTACGCGGAGGTACATGAATAGCAACGCCAGTCTCGCAAGGGCGGTTGTGGGCCAGTAGAAGAATTTCCCGAGCCATTCCAGCTGTCTATGTCAGTGAGGGGGTTCGAGAGACTATGTCGTGTGTGGCCAGCTTACTTTGTGTATGTAGGTGATGTCGTCAAAGGGCAACGTCCACGCATCCCGGCCCAGACCCGCAGACGCGATGCATAGCTGTATAGCGTTCATGGGGATCAAGGTCAATCCAGCGCCAAGAGAACAGGCGTCATCCCAATGGAAGGAGCGATTGAGGACTGCCTCCAGGGAGCGCAGCACAACTGAAATCGTAGCAATACTTCCGCTCACGCTTGCAACGGCCAAGGGTTGGACTGAGTGATTGCGAACGGGCCTTTGACACATGATTGCGGTGATGTTGAGTGCATTGAGGGCTTGTTTGATGGTACATGTTCTATCGGCACACGCATGCATGCTATGGGCGACATGTTGATTGGTACAGAAGCATGTGACATTGTTAGGAGAGCACACCGACAGCGTCTCGAGGGTGGATGCTAAGCAGTCTATCTAGTGAGGTCAGGACACTGTGCCTGCAAAGGTGGTTATGAGTGGTGGGTTTTGACTAACCGCACACTGTGGCAGTAGATGATGCAGGTCAGTAGAAACATGGTTCAGGTCGTGGGGACGGAGAAAGTAGTCCAAGTAGGTGGATCCCAGCATGGCTGCATGTCGCCAGATGACGGGTGCGTCTTGAGTTTAAATGCAGATGCAAGAGGATTCAGCTTTGGCGGCACACGAGGCATGGGGAAAGGCAGATTGGCCATGTATGGGGCCATGGAAAATGCGGGGAGCTGAACCGGAATGTCGTGTGGCGAGAGGCGTTATGCAAGGAGAGCCCTTGCCAAAAGCGTGATGCGCGCACTGCGCCTGAACATACGGATGGATATACACATGCACTCTGCTGTGCTATGGACACCTTGTGAATCAAAGGATTCGCTTCGGTTGGGTTAGGCATGTAACCCGAGTGCTAGTAGTAAGGCTGTTCCCGTGTTCAAGGCATTTTCCAATGGCTTGGCGGGGCAGTCAAGGAGGAATCTGCAGACGACAGCACGGGTCGGCAGCGTGAGACGGGAGGCTCCAGTCGAGGGCGCGAGGAGGGCGGGATGGTGGTGAATGAGTAAATGCACAGTGGGAGCGAGCAAAGAGCAGGGGAGGAGCAGATCGCAGATGCAAGAGTGGAGTTGCTAGCGCTGGTGTGGTGTGTGCTCTTGTCTCTCGGCACGGGTAGTTCCAGGTTCAGGTTGACAAACGCGACTTCACCGCGCAACCCGTGCCTCTTCTACTTCTGCGACGTCAGCGCCCAAAGCCTCTTGTTTGTACGAGCAGCTCGACAGCCTCTTGCTCTGCCAACCCGCCCGTCCGCCAGCACAAACTTGCCCGCCCCCGCTCCGCCAGCCTGCCCGCACAATCTCCCTTTGGCCCTTGTGCCCCACCTTCGCCCATAGACACAACTTCTGCAATCCAACCACCCTCTGCGCGCTCGCCTGTTGCCTACGCCCGACGCGCACATCTCGCCGCCCCGACTGAAGCAGAGCCGCTGGTCAAG